CCGGGGGGCGTTTTCCTGGCTTCTTCTGCAGCGAGTTCCCTGCCTGACCCTGGCTCGCAAACGGCAGTCGGCGGAGTTTGGGCAGCGTGGCCCTTACGCTCAGCCCCCCGTTGACATGATGGGAGTTGTTTTACCTCACAGGAGCGCTGTGAAACTAAATAAGTCGAAGCCTGGGAGGCGCTCACGTTTTGCAGAAGTGGGGAGCTTCATAAAGCACCGCAGAGGCCCTCGGGCTTGCCTGCCGGACCTTACGCGCTAAGTATCTTCTTGCACCGCGATGAAAACTTCCAACAATTCGGCGAATTGTATGCAGGCCTAGAGCAAGTTTTCCAGGAGCGAAACCTCACTGACGGGAAAACATTTGCAACCGAGTGTCCGGGTGGTAAATCCCGCTTCAGCTTTTTGCGCCGTGGCCGCCGGCCGGCCACTCCCCCGCAAACACGCCAATATTTGCCCAAGAGGAAAAGCTCACCAACCTATAGAGCCACGTTTTAAGACCACAGTGAAGTGTCTGGAAAGAGCAATAGTCGCGCCCTGTCACAGGTCCTGCGAGAAGGCAGCTGAATCCCGTCGCAAACGCGAATGACCACGAACGGCCTCCGCGGAGGGCAGAGTCCGGGCCGGCCGCCCAGCGCCGCTTTTGAAAAAGCTCGTTTTCCCTAACGAATAGGCTTATTAAGACGAGAGGCGCCTTCCCCTTCCCTGGCTGCCTCCCCTGGCGGCACACGCCGGGGCTGCTCTTCGGTGACGGGGACACGTTGCAGGTTGGGTGCTCTGCCGCTACGCTGCCTTTTGTGACCATCCCAAGACCGAAAGAAACGTCTGCAATATTTTTTGGCCAAAATCGGAAGGCCAAGAAACGGGGCGGCAGAGGATGTCAGCACGCTTTATGCGTAAGAAAAGAAAGGAAAACCGCAGACCTCAGTGCCCCCCACGCCGCCCCACAAGTACCACCGTCCTCAGAAGCCCGCGGGGATGTTATGGGTCCCCACGTGCCGCCTTCTGCAACGCTGTCGCGAAACAGCCGTCAAGGTTTCTGAGCAGGGGGAAAAAAAAATTCTCCCTTAATACCCACTAACAAGTCTGCGACCTGGATGTCACGCAAAGTCAACTTTGTCTCAAATTTCCGTTCAGTATGGAACTGGAAAATAAAGTCTTAATTCAAGCCCAGAACTTTAGGATCCCTCTTTCGGTGCTTGCTCGGGAAAAGCGTAATTTTTTACAATAAATTATTTCTCAAGAATGTGTCACAATTTACAAAGAAAATAACTCTAGCATATGTTCTGTAAGAGAAAAACTTGCTATTCTCAAAAAAAAAACAAAAAGCAAGGAAAACGTATTTGGCAATTAGGGACCTACGTCAGGAATGTATTTCACCTCTGAAGTGAAGCGCTCATGTGTAGAGATGTACTTTGATTCAGGTTTTATCTTCTTAAAGTGAACAGTATTTCTTGATATACTATTGAAATTCAACAGTATTATTATTATGATAAGAATAGCGATTGTCTACATATCCGGTTCTGGGGGGAAAATATATTGCAAGTGAATTTGTTTACAGCACAATTAACCTATGTTAAAAACATATGAACAAGTTTTGCAGGTCAAATGATCCACCATTCAAAAAGGGCTGAATTATCAGAATTCGTGCTAGCAATCGGATGTTGCTTTATGTACTGAATTTCTATCTTTCTGTTCTAAAGTAACCATTGGAATAATTTTCTTACAGAATGATAGTTGCTATGACAACCATAGCAAATTTTCCTTTTCTGAAACAGATGTCTCATTTAGTTGAAAATTAGAATGTGAAAAACCCATGGGAAAAATTAATTCAAACTTTAACAGAACACTGACTACAATGTAATCTCTTATAGGTTAACCCCTTAACATCTTTCTGCACTCTTACAGTAACCTTCTCATAAATTCTAATTAAACCACTTTAACCTCCTATAAATGACCTTCTTAGCTATCATTAGTGCTTTAGTTGTCTTTGAAGGGAGGATTTCTGCTATAATAACAACAGAAAAAGTCACCCTAAAAAAAAGTGGTCAAACATATTACCGCCTTAATTATTTATCAGTATTTTCTCTTTCATTCAGCCACTACTGGAAGAGAGCTACCATGTAGTCCAAGAGTTCTTCTGTCATTTAAATGGGGCATAACTTAGTTTTACATGTGATTTACTGTAAAGGGCTGTGACGCACTGCACAGTTTCGACCTGTAATTTATGTGAAAACTGAAGGTTTTCCATTTTCAGACCACTGGAATACATCTCAATTTGCTCAGCAGATGTACAAAAGAGGGCACAAAAAGGATACTTGACTAGGGAAGCCTAACAGTGGGCACAGATTTTTCTATCAATCAGAAGCAACAAGAGAGTGAAATCTGATTCTCCGTTACTTTGATTCAACCATCTTAACTTAAAGAACAGATTCCTTCCTCTCTGTGCACTTACCAGCTCGACGCGAACCTCCTCCGTACTTGCCGGGCAGCTACAAATGAACAGTGCAGGCAGCCAACGGGCAGTTAGAGCCATATTCCCACCACGGCACTGCCCTTAGCGCCTGCAGGCTGTAAGACACCGTAAGAACTCCAGGACTGCAAAATTTACTGTGGCAGCTTCATCTAGGTTGTCCAGTTGGTTAAGACAAAACCTACTACCACTAGGCACAAAATGAATCTTGTCGACTTCAAGGGATAACTCCCTTGTGTAGTCCAATATCTGCAGAGTGCTATAGGTGGGAAATGACTGTAGCATAGCTGTTAGCATACCAAAGGGATTGGTGGGCAACATCTGGCAAACACCTTAATAGCAAAAAATATATAACTAAAACACAGCGTGCAAAATCATTGTATCTCCTCATTTCTGCAAAGTTCCTACAGAAATCTTTTTTACAGCTGAAAGGTATATTCCCTCACTACAATCTCTTTACTTAAAAAATAAATTTAAAAGGCTCACAAGAATATGTAATTTGTTCCAGTCTTCTCTCCACAACAGCTGTCATTTCTCTCCGTTAAGAAAATAAGTAGATATTGGCCAGCGATTGTACAGAAGTTCAGTAGGAAAAGAATGGACCAATTCTCACAAATACAAATATCAAACAAATACAAATACTCCCCTGCATTATAATTTTACAGCTGCACATC